ATAACAACAGTACAAATCGTAGTATTTTACAAGCTAATGACATTTTTCTGGCAGTAATGCTCTCCAAGGTACTGTTGTTAAGTGCCACTGAATTGTAGATGACTCATAGAGAATGAAAGACCTGAACACTTGTATAACTTTCATTGTTTCTCCAAGTTCATAGAATTTCTGGAGGCAAGCTATTTCAGAAGTGGACGTCACTCCTGCTTTCAAGCTTGTTTTAACTGGGGAGCTATGCCAAACACTGTCCAAGGTACAAGGTAAGTTTAAGTCATATGCTAGCTTTGTTGGGCCATGATTCTCAGAAGTTTGGCAGTTATGTAACGATGTGATCTTCATCTATTTTCACATAACAACTGGGTCTTCAAAGCCCAACCATTTCAATAAGTTAGGGAAAAGTCTACTGCTGTTTATGGCATTTAAAAAATTATGCACCACATACTTGTTTGTATATTTTCCGAAAGCCTACATGTGAAAGTAGTCATAAATGATTTCTTTTATAGAAACAATATTTGGAAGAGGTTTGTGTTGCCTAGTCGAAAAAATTCATTTCAAACTATAATGTCTTACAGAATTTTCCAAAATCCAAATTCTTTGACTTGGCCCCAAGGCCATTCATGATACAGTCTTTATCATTTGTGCAGCCTCAGATCTTAGCAAGCCCATTGCAACCTGATCTTCACATATGCTAAGCTTTATCCATACCTCATGTTCTCCTTCCTCAGCTCCAGGCTTGTTTGCCTGCTGTTTACTCTATGGGGCATTCTCGTCCTCTCTCTCTTTCAAATTTTTATTTTATATTGGTTTGCTTACAAAGTTTGAATCCATTGTATTTCACACTCTTTTTTCATTCACATTTAGATTCATACAATCATTCTCATTCATTTTATAAAATTAATCATGACTGGAGTAGGCCCACCATTACCCTATCTTTTTAGGTCCCTACTGGACCTTTCTCATTTCCTTTATCCCCTCCCTCCACTCACCAAATTGTGTGACCCTGTGATTTTGCCCCTACCCAGGCTCACACCTCTGCTCCCAGTCCTTCCCCACTTGGATCCCCATACATGTTTTACTGGATTCCTTCTTAATTTTTACAATAATGGTCTTATGCACTATTTATTTGTCCTTATGAGATTGAGTTCGTTCACTCGGCATAATATCTCCAGAACCTCCCAAGTTACAAATATTTTTTTAAATCGTTGCTTCTAAGTGCTACATAGTATTCCATTGTGTGAATTTATCACAATTTGGACATCTGGGCTGTTTTCATATTCTTGTGATGGTGAATAATGCTGCTATGAACATTGGTGTACAAATTTCTGTTTGTGTGTCAGTTCTAATTTCTTCGGGGTATAGTCCCAGTAGTGGAATAGTTGGGTCATTTGGAGTTTCTAAGTTCAGATTTTTGAGGAAATGGTAAACTGCCTTCTAGAATGGTTTTACCATTTTACAGTCCCACAAAAGTGTATGAGAGTTCCCATTTCTATACATCTTCTCCAACATTTATTTCTATCTGCCCTGCTAAACTTTGCCACTGCTATGGAGATTAAATGGTATCTCAGTGCAGTTTTGATTTGAATCTCTCTGATTGCCAGTAAGTTTGAGCCTGTTTCCGTGTATTTATGGGTCATCCAAATATCTTACTCTGTGAAAAGTCTTTCCATGTCTTTTGCCCATTTTGTAATTGGGTTATCAGTCTTTTTTCTTGTGGAGGTTGAGTAGTCTGTAAATTTGTGTTATAAAACCTTTGTCTGAAGTGGTACTGCCAAGTGTTTTCCCCAGTCAGTAGGTTTTCTTTTTATCCTATTAGAGTTTTTGATGCACACAAGTATTTAATCTTTTGAAGGTCCCATTCATCAATTTTATCCTTTCCAGATTGTATATTTCTGGCTGTATTTGTCAGCCCCTTTATACCATAGACTAGGCCTTCTAAGCTAGGTCTCAGTCTGTCTTTTATGAACTTTATGGTTTTGGGCTTTACTCCAAAGGTCTCTGATCTACCTTGAGTTGATTTTTTTGTATGGTGTGAGACAGATCCTGTTTCAGCTTTTTGCACATAGCAGTTCAGTTCTGCCAGCACCATTTGTTGACAAGGTTACCATTTACCTATTTGATAGGCTTTATTTCCTGTCTAATAACAATTGGCCATAGATTACACATCCATTTTAATAGCTTTCAATTTTGAGTCTTTCTCTTCCTTTCTTAGATGTGTGTCTTATAGACAAAATATTAATGGACATTGTTTTTTTATCCATTCTGCTACTCTTTTTTTTCTCGATTAGTCCATTCACATTAAGTATTAATCTAATTGCTTTTGCTTTGTAGGTGACTGTTTTTTCTCATGCTGCTTTTAATATTCCATCCTTATCTCTTACTTTGAAGAATCTGATCATGATATGCCTTGATGTTTTTGAGTCTAATGTATTTGATGTTCACTGAGCATCTTGAATGTGGAGTTCCTCATTCTTCATATTATCAGGGAAGTTTTCTTCTAGTACCTCATCCATTCTCAGTGATTTCTCTTCCCTTTCATATTCTGGAATTCCAATCATATATTGTTTCTTTTGATGTCATCTCACATGATTCTAACGTTTTCTTCATTTTCTTTATGTCTCATCTCTGATTTTTCTTCTAATATGTTTCCTTTGAGGGAGGTTCTTGTCTTCCACTTCACTGACTCTCTGCTCCATGTCTTCCATTCTACCTTTTTTTACCTTCCAGTGTGTTGGACACTTGTGTCATTTTGGTCTTAACATTCTAGATTGGATTTCAATATACTTCTGTTATTTCCAGTACTGTGCTGGCTCTACCCTCTCTATCTTGTGATGATTTATAAATTTCTTGTACTTCTTTACCTATAGTTTCAATTCTTTCTTCCATCTTTTGCATTTTCTTCCATAGTTGTGCAAGCTCCTCCTCCTTATTACACTTTTTCTGATTCCCTGTCTCTGGCGTATTAACTTTCTTAATGGCCTCTATTGTTTCTTCCATTATTTGTATCTTGTTCCAAAGCTGTTCAAATAACTGCACATCAATATATTTCTTTTGGTTCTCTACCTATAGGGTATTACTTTTATTTGGTGCTTCCATTGTTTCTTCCCTCATTTGTACTTTCTTTCATAGCTGTCCAAATGGCTCCATAGCAACATAGATCTTCTGCCTCCTTGACCCTAGGGTATTCATTGGGGCTGCAATATTCTCTGCTCTTTTTTGGAGAAGGCTTAATTTGTTTTTTTCAGTGTTTGACGCTGCCTGCTGCTTTCTTGACATTATGTGAAGTTTTTCTTAAAAAGTGTTAGATCATTTCTATTGTGCCTGTGTGAGTTGCTGGTTGTTCTTATCTTCATGATGTTATTGATTAGTTGTCCACTTAAAATGTACAATCTATGGGGTGAGCCACTCGCTCTACTGAAAATTCTTTCTGAAAAATTTTGCTTTTCCTATAGTCCTTCAGGTTCTCTCTGGTCTGCACTGCAGCCTTGTAGGAATCTTATTTTATTGTTGTCTCCTCTCCCAAACTCTACGGTCCTTTTTCATCTAAGGAGCAGCTGAGTTGTTTGAGACCAGGTGCTTCACTTGAGCAGTTTTTATCCAGGGGGTTTCAAGTCAGCTCTCCTTCTCATAGCTCAACAAGTTGAGAAAGTCCTTCTCTTTCTTGTTGCTGTTCCAAACTCTCTCATCCTCATTCTATTGTCTGATTCTAAGTAACCTATCTCATTTCAACTTAGTTATTATTTTGCCTAGAGATGAGGTGTCAGCATCCCTATTCCACATGATAATGAGGTTAGGTACAACCTAAATACATAGCAACAGGGAATGTGGTATGTTTTAAAAGTAGTATTATCAGGTCATTAAAAAATTAAACAGCTAGGTGTTTACTAGTGTGAAACTATCTCCAAGGTACAATAGCTATTTTTTTTAAACTATGCTGTTTCCACTGCACGCACTACTTTCTTGATGATAAGATAGACAAAGGACATGTACAGAATTCACACTTTGTAATGTCATTTGACTGCGGGACTGATACATATGTCTTTGACCCTACTGGTGCCTTCTGAGAATCACTGATAAAATAAGACCAAATTTGAGCCTAAATCTACAGGGGCAACAAAATGTCCCACCCCAAGGGATGAGTCAAATATAGTGAACTGGTTTATCTTGGCCAGATCTAGCCTTTCTTGCAACTAAGAATGAGAAGATGACCTAAATCTAGAAATTATTTTCTCCTTCTTAAGAAAAGAAAGGAGTCCATGAAGCCTTGCCTCTATCTTCATATCTCCTGCTCTGGATACTGTTACATGAAGATGTGATGATGGCAAACACCTCAAGACTTCAAGAAAGAAATTCTCAGTGCCATGAAGCAATTACTGTAACTCCAGCACTGCTACTATTAGACTTCTCTATAAGTTAAATAACAAGGAAAAAGTTTGCATTAATGAACCAATTCCACTTCTTCTGTTTATAATTTAAGTTACTATTAGTTGGGTATTGTGGTAACTGCAGCCCAAAGCATTCTTCACTAAACATCATTATAAGTTAAAGAGATTTGATTCCTAGAAACCATTTACAGAACAAAGCAAAGAATTTCTGTTTTAAACAGAAAACTGCTGATAGTCTGAACTTTTGGACCAGGGTCAGAACTAACTCAGATTTAGGAACAGAATCAAGATCAAGGTTAACAATATAATTAGCCCATGATGTTTTAGTCTAATCTTATACTTTTGGAACATCTCACTTTCTACATAAGATTTATTTATGCAGACTTTTCAATCTTAAAACACACAGTCCTCAAAAGGAGTCTTTCTTCAGTACAATAAGAAGTAAAATTCATTAGTTTCAGCTTTATGCCAGGGATCATCAGAAGTCATTGGTACCTCACATGATCTAGTCTTGGCAACCTATGCCCAAAAGAAGCTCCTGATACTTTTCTTTATAAAATCTATTACTCGGTTCCAGGAGAGGAGACCACTTAGCCATTGAATGTGAGTCAGACTTACCGGAGTCTGAAAGCAGCAGAAGAGCTGAGTGAGGAAAGGGTGGTTGCGGGCCAAAGATAGGATCCTTTTCTCAGTCATCGTGCATTCCACATCATCGTCCTGGAGGATCACATCCTTCTTTAGCACCTTCACTGCATAGAGGTCTCCGGTTTCTTTTATTCTTGCAAGCATCACCTATAACGGAGTAGAAAGATAGAACATGAGAGTGTACTGTTAGAATTCCTAGGATGTGAGGAATAACTAAATTAGCATGTAATAAATATGGACGTATATACATACAAGCACATATAGATCACTTAGACACACACAATTACTTTAGCATTTGTTAAAACAAAGACTCACCTTCCCAAAACTCCCTTTTCCCAATACGCGGATGAACTCAAAGTTATCAATACCAAGTCGATTGGAAGAGTTAACCCCAACCCCATTTCCTTCTTTGGTGCTTTCCTTTCCTTGTCTTCTCAAAGTTGATCTGGAGACAAGCTTCTGCAAAGAAGTAGGAATACACTGGTATCAGAAATCTTAGCACAAACATGACTGATGCATTTTTGTACCGAGAAGACCTGTATTTGTGCGAACAAGCTCAACTTCTAATACGTCTGGGGGAAGAGATAACATCACCTTCACAGGATCAGTTTTTGGAACTCAATGTTATCTCAGTATCAGCTACTTATCTAGTCTTACTGCTAACTGGGGGGAAAAATTTAAAAATACTTCTAAGCTATCGAGTTTCAGTTGGCACACAAATAGAATACAAAACCAACAAATTCTAAAAGTGCCACCTGGTGGCCATTTCTTGCAAAGAGCCAACTGACATTTGCCCAGCAACTGTATTGAGGATTAAGTCCTGGATACATGAAATTTTCTTTTAATAAAATATTATATGCTATAAAAGAATTTTTTAAGAAATATATGATTAGGAATTATGTGCATGACCACAGTGTAGTATATGAGCTGCATAGTCAAGTGTACTGAGGGAGTGCACAACAATGAAAGAATTTTTTTTTTCAAAGAGAAGAGCGAAGTGGAGGCAGGGGTGGTCAGGGAGGAAATGTGTAATAACGAAGGACTGGAAATACAAGTTCTCTATAAACTTTCATTAAAATTTCAAGTAAAAAAAGAAGTTTTTAAAACCAACGTAAATTTTGAACAATTTACCAACTGATGTGGAACAAAATTTAAAATACCCAAAATTCTACCAGGTCCAACTCACCATCTGCAAAATCTGTTAATATAATGACATATGCTATACATCTGAGATTTTTAATGCTTGGTTAGCTTTTAAAAATACAAAGTTATGGTTTAAACACATTTTTTCAATTTCACTTTTTCTTTCATATTTATTTTTCCCTGTCCTTAATTATACTTTAGGATTTAGTCTTACTAAATAAAAAAACTATTTATGGAGTTGATTCTGACTCATAATGACTCTGCTGGGTTTCAAAGGCTGTAAAGCTTACACAAACAGACTGCTCATCTTTCTCCTAAAGAATAGCTGATAAGTTCAAATCACGAAACCTCTGTTTAGAAGCTGAAAGCTTAAACCACACCAAAACCTGGCTCCTTTGAGTTCGAACAGCTCTCCAACACTCCACTTTATGAACACAATTTTTTTAAAATTATTATTAATTTCAATGAACATCTACAGAGATTTTGGAATTCCATTCATTCATTGTTGCACTTTTCTCCCCACCCACTCACCCCACCCCCACTCCTCTCCTTGAAAAGCAAAACTCCTTCATTAGTACACAATCCGCCCCCGCCACACACACATCCTTACTCCCACTCCAAGTTTATTCCACTCTGCAACCCTCATTCCGGACTCTTATGATAATCATAATGCCCTAAAATATATTAATTTTAAAGTCCTCTGATAAATAGCTTGTTTCCTGTCTTCCACTGTTGTAAACAACACTGCAATATTTGTACACAAATCTTCAAAAACAAGATGACTGGGAATCTAGGTTCTTGAGCAGACCACTGGCATTTACATGCCACCTCCATGACCTAACCCTGTGACCTTGAGAAAGTCAGCCAACCTCTCCCTTCCTCAGGTTCTTTCTCTGTAAAAGAGATTGTAGTTCTTCCAGGGTACACATAATTATCTCAGGTCAGCACCTGGCATATTCAATGCATTTAAGCTGTTTTGCTGTTGTCCTTTTATCTTAAAATAACTTTCTAGAAATGGAATTCCTTTGGTCAGAGTCTTGCTAGTTTTGGAGACTTCTGATATACAGCCAAGTCATGTTCTAGAAAGGTTGACCAGTTGTATATTCAGAGTTCCAGTTTCCTGGCCCAGAAGCCACAGAGTTAAGCTGGCCTCCTCAGTCAGCAGCAATCCCAGCACTGTACACAGGCCCATCAGAATGCCTACAGGCAAGTGCCTTTTTTAACTCACCACCTGGGAATACTCGTGAGCCATCACCACACAACAGATCAAAAGCCAACATACCTGGAGCTTCTGACCTAGTTAGCTTAAAAAAAAAAATCTATTTGGGGCAACTGCTCAGCAAGCAATATTTGCAACAAACCAACTGCATAACAGCCAAAGACTTAACTATCATTTTACTTAATTTATACGCTAGAACAGAGATGACAAAATATCCAAGAGATCATCTTAAAATTGATCCAACTGTTTTCACAGCTTATTCTCCTATTTATATGTGACCATATATATTTTATTTTTAAGGAATAGAAAAATTTGACCAGCTTGAATTTCAATTCCTTCACTTAAATACTTCCCCTGGTTAAGCTGGTACTGAGCAGAAAACACTATACTAGTATTTATTCATCTTTTCTTTTTAACCCATTCTTCTCCTTTTGACAAACTCTTAAAATTCTGTCTCTTTTTCATGTCATATTGTCAAATAAGGAGTGATTTCAGATTTCCTAGGATTACATAAAATATTAACAATACTTGGTCCAAATGATAATTGACAAGTGACAGTACCTATCCTTGGAGACTGAGCCATGCGATTTATCTTATCTCCACCAGATTTTGATAAATGTGGCCTAAAGTATCATGTAATCTCCATTCTTCAGGAACATCTGCCCCACAACTTAGGAATCCCAGTCACTGTATGAGCATCCTACCTCCCTACTACAGGCAGACCAATACAATGGATTCTGTCAACGCCTTCCTCAAATCAAAGAAGACAATGTCAACAAGAGTGTGTAACTCCAGCAACCAGGAAAGTTACAGTAAAAAGCAAAGGGGAGGTGATCAGGCCTATGGCTCTCATAGTGAGTACACATTCCTTCCTAAGTACCAGACAGCATTTAACAGGTCTGTGTAGAGTTTTCTTCAAACAGATATCAAGCAGCACCCTTCCCATGTCACATCCACACGGCTACTTCTCAGCTCCCTGCAGACACTGGCCAGGAGGGCAACAGCAGGACACAGGCCTGGGAAGGTTCTAAGTGACCACAGCAGGGGGAGGTCGCTGAGGGAGGTCACAAAACAGAACACATCCCAGAATTACAATCCCACCCACTCCTGAGAGCCAAGAGGAAGGAACTCCTGTCTGCCACTGAACTTGAGAGAGATAAATTCATAATCTATAAACAAAAAGTGCAGAACACTGAAGTCCCATGGCTGTGGGCAACTTCAGGGATCTTCAAATTCAGTCATTTTAGAGCTGAAGCAGCTGAGGGCTGAGGGCCACAGTCACTGGCAACCAGCACTGCACCCTCTTGCACCAAGGAGCACAGCCCAGGTCTGGATTCCAGACATTCCATAACACCACATGCTAGGAAGTGGATTCCCCCCCCCCCAAATCCTTTTCCTGTTTCCTCCCATATCTGCAAGCTCATTATTTCTTGTCATGTAATTGTACTTATGGTTGTATTTGTGGAGCAAAATGCTCTTAAAGGGGCACAGAGGACAGACTATGGTTATGCCACATATTCCCATTCAGGCTGAACGTCTATATTAACCCCCACAACAAGAAGTCAAGTCTCACCGAGGTTGGGGAGATATTTCCTGGCTGCAGACCCATCCCTGCCAGAGTCTTGGCGAGCTCCACAGCATTCACTCCACAGTTGGGGGCCACGTTGCCCTGACATCGGATATGTACATTCATCTTACATACTAGGAGGAAGAGATAAACAGAAAGCCGTATTCAGAAAGAAATCAAGTCACCATGCACTACAGCAAAGAGCTGCAAGAGCCCGAAGATTATGACACGAAAGCTTCACTCAGGCTGAACAAGGTCATCTCCTCATCAAATTAAACCAAACAATACGCCTGACATTTTATCTAGCTCATTTTATCTTTCTACAGAAGCAGGAAGGCTGGCATATTAAAGGTGAATAAATTTTAAATACACATCTTTCACCCTGACTTGATGAAACATACTCATCTAGATCATACCCAACAGTCACTGCTGACTTTCCAGCATGACTCAATATAAAGATCAAAGCAAGCATCACAGTGACATGTCACGGCCAATTAAATAACAAGGCTTCGTGTCAACACTTTATTCTTCTTCTCCTATCTGTCAATAGTGCAGTAAGAGACGGCAGGCTAAATGGCACGAAGAGATGGCTGTTCAAACAGGATGGACTTGGTGAGTCTGAGGGAAAGCCCTCTACATGAGGCTTGCTTTCTGAGTCCTACTGTGGTTCAGCAGATCCTATAGCAGAGAGACGGGCAGCCTGTGGGGCTGCAGTTCTCAGTGCTTGCAGCTCCTGCTTCTAACTGCTTCCTGGGGAAAAAACCCAACACTTTATAAAGCTTTTTGAAAGGTCATAGTAAATGGTAGTTAGAAGAGGAGAAAGAGGCAAGCTAAGCTCTTGGTGCACAGAGCACTGATGGGAAGATGAAAGACTGGAGTCTAACCAGTGGAAAGATCATCCCAGCACAGCTGATGGGTCGGTCCTTCTGATGGGGGAAAGAACAGAGGCTGCAAGCAACAAGCTGTTAATGGAAACTTCTATCTCTTGAAGGAGATGCAATGCCAGGTTTTCTAGGACTGTAAGTTTGAACAATGTAAGGGGCTTCTCCAAGAAACAGAATATCAAATCAAGCAGAAGCCTTGGGAGGAATCCTTGCAAGGATGGGGCTCTGAATCTTAAAGCTTCATAGAGTAATTTCTCTCTCCTGGCAATGATGGTATGGAGACACAAAAGCTTAAAGTCTTCTGAAAGCACCACGTGACAGTCGCAACAAAAATTATAGGAGCATTGCATGCCTTCAGGCCTCCAGAGACAAGAACACGTGAGAGAGCTTCACGTGTGACTCCACATGTCAGCAAAGGCTAACTGGAAACAGCTAGTGCGTTTGTCTCAGGAAACCAGAGCCAGGTAAGATCATGCAGCTGATGATCACACAGAAATGGAACCAGAGCCTTAAAAAGCAACCCAGGAGCTGGCTGCTGGTTCTGGTTAAGTAAGAATTATGAAATAATATTTAGGGAAATAGAAAAACACATAGTTCTTGAGAGCAAGCACCAATTTCTTTTTTATTCACAGAAATAGACTTTGTAAGCCCAGGCTGTAAAGGAAAAACCTCTCCACTCCCATGTCAACTGTGTCCTCCACCTCTGCTCTACCAGCATCTTTGTAAAGTCACCAGCATTTTCACCAGGGGGCAGTGCATTCCACGACACCTAGATCCTTACGGTAATGTTCAGGGAGAGATGACTCAACACTAGCAGCTCCCTGGCTCCTGAAAGGCCACTCATCACCCTGGGACCTCATGGGCTGTCAGGGAAGTACAAGCCTATGTCCTCCCCTCCACCTACCCTTTAACTGGAGCCACTCAGTGCTGCTTCCCAACTCTACCCCGGCTTCTTTCTAGCTATCAGACACACTTTCCTAATCCATCTAACTCCTGATCCGACCTGCTCACCTCAACCATCATCAACGCTTGACTGAGCTCTCATTGCCTCTCTTTCACATTTCCTTTTATACAGTGGCTAGTATATACTCAGAAACAAATGAATAAATAAAGAGAAATGAGAGAGTGAGAAAGAAGAAAGGAAGGGAGGGGGGATAGAAGCAAAGAAGGAATTTTAACATCTGACTTGGGTTCTTTTTTTTTTTTTAATTTTTTTTTTTTTTCTGACTTGGGTTCTAAGGCCAAGGATTCTTTAGGTTAGATGCAGCTCTCTTTACATGCCTGCCAAGCAGCACATGAGCAGAACATTAAGACATTAATTCATAAAACATTTAAGCCCATTTGTCCTAAGTCAGGCTCTGTGCCTACAGAACCCCCCAAACCGGCAGCATGGCATTCCCATGAAGAAGTGGAAACCCCGTCTTCTCACTTTTACACTGAAGCCCCTGTCGCATTATCCCCCAGAGCAGGGAGCCACAGTGATCACAGAATGTTGGCACTTTGTAGTTGTGGATGTTGAACTTGTGTGGAATGTTGATTCCAAACCTCTGTTCAGCAATCTGCAAAAGAAGAGGGGGGAGGAAACATGAGAGTAAAAATTCTACTCCAAACATCTTCTGTTAAACCTGTAACAGGAGAACACCAAATACAAACTGTTACTATGATACCTGAGCAGGGTGTATTATTTTGCGGTCCTCAGCCCTGATTAATTACCTAGGCCGTACTCACCAGACCAAGCATATTCTCTAATCAGCAGGACTGGACAGAAACATGGGAGGTGTAAAGGATCATTTGCTACTTGTAAAGATAAAGAGACACTCACATTTTCGTTCCCTTTTATATCTGGGCTTTGTCTCTCTCTGTCAACCTCCTTGCACTCTCATCAACTTTCCAGAACATTTTTCATTCAGGACTAAATTGGTCTTTTACGGACTTATAGGTGCGATTATTATAAATTCTTTCAGAAATTGTGTTACAGGGAAAAAGAAAAGGCAACTATCAAGATGAATTTGAATCAGAGAAAGATCTCATTCCAACTGACATTAAAGTGGCTATTTAATTCAGTTCCTCTGACCTTACTGGGATATTCTGACAATCTTAGTGTGAAGGTTTAATCTCCTATGTTTTCTCTAGCAAATTAGATTACGCATATACTCTAAAATTGACATCACAATTTAAAGTGATGGCAACAGGGCTGCATCTAACAAAGCCTGGGACAATGCTTATTTCTCTTCAACCTTTTCTGGTTGCCTTCTTATAAAGACTGTGATTCATATCTGTATTTGTATTCTTAATAGTCCTGTACATAAAGAATCACCGAGTCCTGGAGTTATCCATTCCAGAGCATCTGTAACTTGTCATTCGCATCAACGGTTCTCCACCTCTAGAATTTATAGCATAAACCTATCCCAGCTGACTGCAATGCCACTGGCAGACATTAGCACCAAGCATTTGCAGGCAGATAGATATTTCTCCTTGAAAGCTCTTAAGAGGATTGAGAAGGTTGAAAGTCTTTTCATTTAGCAATTTATAATTAATGTGCTTTTCATATTCTTATGTCCTGTTTAACTCAGAAAAAAATTCATGAGAGATACACTAATCCCATGTCTAGATTGAGACTAAGAAAAGTTGTGGGCTTGCCCAAGCTCATAAAGTGGACACCTAGCAGAGGGTGAATTATGCATTCAAATCTATGTTGTCTGAGGTCAAACTAGGGCTCTGCCATGCACCAAAATGCTTTCCAAGTTACAACTGATCCATACTGTTATAATGTTCACTGACTACTTTGGTCATCTTAAGGAGAAATCATGCTACTCAAGTACAGAAAGTCAAATGCCATAATACAAAAGGGAGATTTCTATTTTATCAGTGTCAAACAGGATGGAAGGAAGGTGGTAGTACTGGGGTGGGGTGAGAGAGGGTGTGAAAGCAAACTGCTATCTCCTTACCTTTGAATCTACTTTGTTAATATTGTTTTGGCAAGTACAGGCTGTAACAATGAGATGATGGCAGCGCTTATGGACAACACAGGTGCACACTAGGAAATAAAATTCAGCGATTATATATTCATCAGAGGCTCCAGTCTAGCCATTTACAATAAACAAGTCTGTATGTATAGTGTCACTGTGACTAGATCTGGACATCTGGCTCACACAGTGGCCACTGCATCCATCCATGTTTCCTATGTTCTTTGTCACCAAACTATTTTTAATAAAGTCTTGACCTTACCATACTCTTTAAGACTCTTCCTCCTTTAATCTATCTCCAGAGAAACCTTTGATTAATCACAGCTAAACTGTAATTATGATCATGGCATCTCATTATTTAAAATCTTTAATGGCATCTCACTGCCAATCACTGACATTCAAGGTTTCAGATGCTATTCCATGCTGACATGCCACCTTTTTTCCACAAGGGTTATTATGTTTCCTTCAATAAAAACTAGAAGAAGTCACTCATCTCTGGAAAGAAACTGCTCCCTTCTTTCAAATATTATTCACACACATACTTTCTTATCCTCTTTGTCTATCCCCAAACTAAATTATTTACAAGACTAAACTTAAAAAGAGTGTCTTTCATGAAGATACTTTAATAAAAAAAAATCCTCTACCTCTGCTACCCTTTTGGATTATGACAATCTCTACCCCTTCTTTCAAACCGTTCACAGGTTACCTCCCAATGCCCTAAGAATTGCGAGCATAATGCTTTGAACAAAACAGGAATTCAATAAATGTTTGATGGTTTGCTGAATGATGCCATCAATGATTTAGAACTTTCTGAATAATAGCATTTTTACACTTTTTATCTGGATAACTAGCAACTACTGAAGGATGAGCATGTGCAATAAGAGATACAAAAGATGCTGCTGTGGTGGTAGGAAGCTGCCCTTGACTGAGCCCTGACCCATGGTGACCCCATGCGCACACCATGAAACGCTGCCCAGTGCTGCACCATCTCCACAGTGCAATAAGCTGAGGACCCACAGTAATCACATTGCTTGATTTTCAGAAAAAAAGATTTTCCACCTCTTCTTTCTTTATCAGTCCATTTTACTCTGGAAGCTCTGTTGAAGCCTATTCAATACCACAGACCCTGTAGTAAAGGTTTACAGCCTTGGAAACCCAATGGAGGGTTTTCATTAGTCAGAACTGACTCAACAACAGTGGCTCTGGGATCGTTATGTCTTCTTGGAGAATTGGCTCTTTTATAATTATTTAATGGCTCTTTACTCCTGATCACTTTCCTTGTTCTAAAGTCTGCTCTGTCTGAAACGATACAGCTTGTTCTTCACTATTATTAGCATGTTATCTGTCTTTTCATGAAGACATTTACTTGGGTTTGTCTCTCTTACAAGATGTGAACAGAGTGGTGTCATCATGTCTCCTAACCATTATTTCTTCCTGCTCTCTCATTACTTTTCCTCTCTGTTTTAGGGAGTTCTGATGGCCAAGTGGTAAAGAGCTGAGCTGCCATATTAAAGGCATGTGGTTCAAATCCACCAGCTATTCCACTGGAGAAAGATGGACAATCTCCTCCTGTGCGATTCACTGTCTCTGAAAACCCTCTGGAGGGTTAACTTTGAGTCGGGTTCTGACTCACAACATACTATGTAAATTGTAAGCAAAATTTAACCAAAATCAAAGAATTATAATCATAAGAGGAGTATCAATTGAACCCTTCCTAATTATAGAGATTTATCAATTAAGTTATCAAATTATAAAAAAATTAATTAAATGTCCCATTTTCTTTTTTTAAATTATATTTTAAAAAATTTGGCAATTTTAAAATTGGTTTGAATATATACTATCCTTCAATCAGTGTTTCACACAATCATTCTCATTCATTATGTTTTATAAAACAATCACCATTAAACCATGCCTATCTAGATCCCATTTTTTCTTTTATCATCATTTTTTCACACAGAAAAGATTAAACACGGTTTAAAAAGAATTCCTTACCTTGGCATTGATAGCCCTGCTTCCCAAAGACGCCCCTGTTCAAGACAACAAAGGAAAAAAGCCATCAATCAACTATTTCAGCAATAACTATAATTACAATTCTTAAGGGAAAGTGAATTTCATTGTCTGGTTCATTATAAAAACAAAATATTATTTCAGGGAAGAAACAAAGTGCCTTTTTTTTAAGTCCTTGTTTGTTACTGGTACACACAAAAGACATCAGAATGTTTCAAATACAAAGCAGGGAACAGAAAAGCCCGCCCACCCACTACTGTGACACTTTCCTATGTTCTCAATGAAGATAGATCTTCATCTGTACCTGTGACTGGGCCTCAGTCTAAAGAGTCGTCCCACCTCCTAACTTAGCTTTCTTATCATATACTGTGGTATGTGGTATAGTGGGTTTACTGTTAACTCTTCTTCTAGTCCATGGGCCACATGGTCACAGGGCTGGGTGGGAACATGCAATCAAGGAGTACAGTCAACTAACGAGAGGACTGGTTGCGTTTTGACATCCTAACAGGCTTACACTAAGAAGCTTTGGAGGCAGAAGAGGGGAATTTCACTATCAGAATGCAAAGAAAAGTGGAAAATGCAGCACATATTCCTAGGGTCCATATAAATTCTTACATGAGACAAACTACAAACCAAGACTGAAACTGATAGCTCCAGGAGAGGAAAAACCACAGCTGACTAGGGACTGTCACCTCAAGGAGCCAGAGCTGGGACCTCTGCCCAAGCCTGGAGGACGACTAGTGGGCAACACATCATAACTGGCAGAATTGTGAGCAAGCTTGAGAAGCTATCCTAACTGAAGAAATGTGTCTTGTTTCCAGTCTGATTTGTAAGCTGCTAACTTCTCTAATACACCTCACAAGTAAAGTAAAATCTGTGGATTTTGTGTAGTCATTGCAATGGATTAGTGGACCCTGCAGCAGAGCAGCAAAAGACTGGGGAGGGACAGCTGGTTTTAGAATTGGCAGAAGTATGTGCCAGAGGTGTGTGGTCACGCCTGGCTTCAAGTGAATCAGTTTTGGGCTGTGGATGTTGTTGATGGGGACTGTTCCCCCTTGTGGAGTTAGTGAACATCCAACTTGGCTGCCCGTACACTGCTCCAATCTTTTTACATATACAAAAAAAAAGGATTTGCAGACACAGAATGAAGTAAACAATGGAAATACACAATGAATGCATGCATGAATCCACAGCAGTGTCTGACTTAGGGTATGTCCCTCTTCCTTGACAGTGTCCCCCACTTGACATCTGGAGTCCAAAGGAAGCAGAAGTGCCACTTACAAATGCATGCCTGCCCCCCCCTCTATCTCAGCCTCCATCTCAGTCAATCCCTAATATAGTCTAAGGCTGAAAGTGGCATTATTCTCACTCTCAAATGAAGAAAATATCTTACTAAGCTCTTGGGATGTGCTTGGCACATTAGTCAAGCAGCCAAGATACAGTGTTTCACTTAAGCCTCAAAAAAATTTAAGCATCATCTCATACAGAGGAGGATGGATAAGAGCACTGACTCTGAAGCCTTTAATATTCTCATCTAGAAAGTGGAGATAAGGATCCCTGGTGTGCAGATGGTTAAGTACTCAACTATTGATGAGCTTGTTGTTGTTGTTAGGTGCCATCGAGTATGACTCACAGCAACCCTATGAACAATAGATGTGAACTCTGTACTACCCTGTGCCATTTTCACAAGTTCTGACACACTCAAGCCCATTGCTGCAGTCATTGCAATCCACCTGGCTGAGGGTCTTCCTCTCCTTTGCTGTCTCTCTACCTTTCAGAGCATCATGTCCCTCTCCAAGGGATAACCTCTTCTAAAAACACATCCAAAGTATGTGAAATGATGCTTTTATTATCCTTCCCTCCAAGGAGCACTCCCGGCTGCACCTCCCCCAGGGCTTATCTGTTTGTTCTTTAGGCAGGCCATGGGATATTCAGCACTCTTCTCTAACACCATAGTTCGAAGGCCTCAACGCTTCGTATGTCATCCTTATTCACTGTCCAGCTCTCAGATGCATAGCAAGTGACTGAAAAGACCATCATGACTCCTCAATAATCTGGAGAGGTCTCTCACTATAGACTTTCCCAGTCCAGTATGTCTTCTGATCTCCTGACTGCTGGCACAAGTGTATTGATTGTGGATCTAAGTAAGATGAAGTCATTCACAGTCTCAACTGGGTGTCCATCCATCATGATGTCACCAATCGGTCCAGTGGTGAAAATTTTGGTTTTCTTTCCTCCTCACTTACAGCAAGCAAGGTTGTGTCATCCCACAACAAGGTTATTGATGAGCTTTCCTCCGATCTTGATGCCACATTCTTCTTCACAGAGTCCAGTTTCTAGAATAATTTGCTTAGCATACAAATTGAGTAGGTAGGGAGAGAGAGTACAACCCTAACACTTTTCCTTCTTAATTTTAAACCATGTAGTGTTCCCTTTCTCTGTTCACACAAGAGCCTTTTGGTCTAGGTCTAGGTTTTACACGAGCACAATTAAGTGTTCTGGGATTCTCATTCTTCTCAGTGTTAGTCATAATTTGCTATGATTCACAGAGCCAAATGTCTTTGCATAGTCAATAAAGCACAGACACTGTTCCAGTATTGCTTTTAGCCAGCCTCCATCTGATATCCCAGGGGCCACGGCCTCTAAATCCAGCACGAATGTCTGGAAGTTCTCTATGTACTAACTGTTCTATGCATTTTTGAATGATCTTCAGCAGTATTTTGTTGCATGTAATATTAATGATATTGTGAAGGGTCATCAAGTTGACTACAATTCACAGTAACTCTGCTAAGTGAATTAATACCTGAGCTACTAACCCAAAATTGGATGCCCAGGAGAAACAGCTGGCAGTCTGTTCATATAAAGACTATTGCTAAGAAAACCAGAAAAGATAGTTCTACTCTGTCCCGTGGAGTCACTATGAGTCAAAATTGCCTCCACAATGTTACCGATAATATAGGTATAATGGTATAATGCTAATAGTACCTATAATCTCACTGAAAAGGAGACAATAAAGAATTTAAAATAGTGCCTAGCATTAGTAAGTGCGCTATAAAAATGGAAATGTAAGTAAAATAAAATCATTGTTTATTTTGCAAATAAGGGGATTGATGGGTTAGAAAAGTTGTCTAAGGTTACAAATTCAGATGGTCATGAAATTTAACGCCAGAGTAGCCGTGTATAGTTAGAAAATAAATGTACAAGTATTTGAAACGTGTATGGGAGGCAGATGTGTAGGCCTGTGCGTAGGTAAAAGTGCACAAACGAGTACGTGTGGGGGACAATGTGTGCACAGGTGGGTGCTTCTTCATCTAAGTGCTCCAAAGGGCTGAAGGCTGCTTGAGTGGAAGTTACTGTTTACTTAATGGAAAAAAATTAGAGAAATTATCAACTAAGTTTCCATTAAGCTTGCTAACTGAGATCACAGATTGCAACCTCAAATACCTACCTGGGTCAGGCAAGCCACATAAGCGAGGAAGGGAGAATACGAGTGACATAAAGATAAATGGCAATGGCTCGTCACCCTCTGTGTTGAGCAGACCTAAGGGGGTGGCAGGACTATGTCAACACAAAGAGTGAAGGCTACTAACTGCACAGGAGGGATGTGGTGAACACAAAGGGGAGGAAGTTCAGAGCCAAGCTTCTGATTTTTGCAATAGAAAGTAAAAGATTTTTTTACCCCCCTCAAAGTTATCGATGCCATGGCATACTGTCATGTCTCACATTACAGGCGGTTCAGAGTCATCAATTTAGCTAAGACTCTCACCTTGATTAAGAAATGCCAGAAATAGTAACTAATCTTATGTTCTGAGGCTAAAAGATAGAAAAATCTAAAATAATCTCATAGCCACAACAAAAGAAAAAGTGGTCCAAATTCAGAAATTACTCCAAATTGAGTGCTTCTGTATTCATGAAACAAAAATGAAAGATGATGACAAAAATATCTTAATTTTCCTTTGCTACTTGTTGTTTTTGTGTACTGTCAAGTCTGAACCAACTCATAGCTGACCCATCAAAGGGTTTTCACAGACAGTACACTGAATGTGAGGAGACTGTCCTTTTCCAGTGGAGCAGCGGGAGGATTTGAACCACATGTCTTTGGGATTATAGTGCGGATTTTCACCATGGGCCACTATAGCTCAGGCCTTAAATCTTGTTTTCTTCTCAGATGTATGTGAGTGCATGTCGATGTGTGTGTAAGGGGATGGCTCTTTTTCTCTTTCCAAGTAAACATATTCAATGTTGACTGTAATTGACAATAACTGTGCTAGCCAAAGGCACACAGTTTGAATCTATCTGCTGCTTTGTGGGAGAAGGATGGACAATCCTTTCATGATTTACTGCTTCTGAAAATCCACTGGAGGGTCTGCTATGGAATGGTTCTGGCTCGAGGACACACACTATGTTTGTTTTACACTATAGATTTGCCACTGTGACAGAAATGAGTTGTCTCAACCATCTAGAATTGTTCAACTACTAATTACCTTAAATTACTAATTGCCAGGGTAAGATTTTTTAATATGGCCCATGATGGTGATTACTTTCTATTATAGATCATGGGATTGAAGAGTACTACAAATTCACATGTCAAATTTACTTGCTCCATAATTTATCACTTTTGAGGACTTAAGGTGCCATAGTCTTTCAGGCCACAGTCTTTCTGATTACTTGCTATGCGTCTGAGAGCTGGACAACGAATAAGGATAACAAAAAAAGAACTGATGCCTTTGACCTGACGTATTAGAGAAAACACTGAACATCCCATAGATGACCAAGAGAATAAACTGCTGTATCTTGAAGAGGGCATAGCCAGAGTGCTCTTTGGAGGCAAGAATGAAGAGATTTTACCTCACATACTTTGGCTATGTTGCTAGGAGGTGCTATTCCCTGGAGAGGACATGATGTTGGTAAGAGTGGAGGGTCAGCAAAGAAAAGAAAGACCCTCAACCAGGCAGACTGACACGCTCACTGCTGCAATGTGTGTCAGGAAGTGTGAGGATGGTGCAGGATAGAACAGCATTCCGATCTTTTGTTCATAGAGTCGCTATGAGTTAGTTGTACTTGATTTGACAGCACCTAATAAGAACAACAAATATCTGACAAGATTTGTTGGTTTCTTTTTATTCAGGGTCTGATTAGCAAATATATAGATATTGCTTATGTACTCCATAAGCATCTGTCTCTAAATTGTGTTTTGAAATAGTTCATGATTTATTAGCACTGTTACCAAATTGATTACTAAAAGAATAACATCAAAACCTGTTTTTTTTTTTTGCAGTGGGGATTAAAATTGCCAGAAAAGCAGAGCAAGAGGTAAAAACTAGATCCTAAATAATTCTTAATAATCATGCTGACTTCTGAAAGCCACAGAGCCAGGGAAGGAAGACAGGGACCCTCTTACCAGATAAATTCTCGGCAATGAGAGCAGTAGGTGGGCTGCCTCAGGTACGTTGCCATGAACTTGTGTCCATTGATCTGGTGGACTCGCCTTCGCATAGCCCTCTGGCGCTTTCTCGTAAAATGTTTGAAGATTCTGTCCCTCTGGAGAGTAGCTGTAAGTCAAAGGGGGGGGGAAGGGTAATATATAATGAATGTGTATTTTATAGATCAGAAAACAGAGCAATTAAAATCCTCCACAAATCACCTTTTCTTTCCTCAACATCCAAAATATTCCAGGACATCACTGTGGTCTCCTAGTGACCTTACTGAAAAACAAAACCACAGCAGCTGAGTTGATTTTGACTCACAAAGGCTCTGGGACATGGCAGAATGTCCTCAAAGCACTTCCAAGGTTGCAATCTTTACAGGAGCAGCCTCTCCCTCAAAGAGGGAGAAAAGGTGCGATTGGAGTGCCAGCCTCTGGTTAGCAGCCAAATGTTTAACCACCGCACCACCAGGACTCCTCCCAGTGACATTAGGGCTCTTAACTTTTCAGGTTATTGGATCCCGAGATGTCCAGTGTCTGGTTATATTTAGACCAATTTCTCCTGACCAAGTTTTCTGAGGTTCTGGTGCTCTAGGGTGTGACATCAGCATGGTCTCCCAGGATAACAAAGAGTAAACAAAACCAGACCCACTGCATGGAGTTGATGCGGGCTGCTGGCATCCCTCCATGATATTCCCAAGCAGTCCAACACAGAGCAGACTCTGTCACCAGGGCTCCTTTTCAAAATGTTACCAAGCGCCTTTGAGTCAGGGCCGACTCACAGCTGACCCACTAGTGGTTTTCAGAGGATTTCAATCACACAGGAGAAGAGTGTTCATCTTTCTCCTGTGGAGCAGCTGGTGGATTTGAACTGTTTGCCTTAGGACAAGCAGCACAACTTCTTACCACTAGGCCACCAGAGCTCTCTCCTTTTAAAAACTGTTCTTGTTGTTATGTACCTTTGGTTAGGAATTGACTCACAGTTCTAAAATGCCAGTGGAATTTTTGAGCCAGTAAATCACATAGGCAGGTTGTTAGGAGAGGCTCGTTCCGTGGAAAGGAACATCACGCTTGGAAAGGTGAAGATCAGTGAAGGAGAGGCAGATCCTCAACGTGTTGGACGGACACAGTGACTGTAACACTGGCCTCCCGCACGTCAGAGTTGATAAAGATGGCTCAGGATAGGACAGGTTTTAGATCTGTTGCTCATGAGTTGTACTTGACTTAAGGACACCTAACAACAACAAGTAGTTATCTGGGAGGAGAGTGTTCCTTTTTTTTTCTCCCAAGTTTCAACTGGTAGATTCAAATTGCATACCTGTGGGTTGGCAGTGCAATCCCTTACTAATAAACCGTTAGAGCTCTTAGTGGCTCCAAATCTAAGGGCCCTGAAATTTATGTTTCCTATAAAGACAAAGTTAATTATGTCTTTAGCATAACTCTGATTTTTTTGAAAACATTGTAGAAAGATTTGTGGCTAGTAAAATAAAGATTATTTCCTCAATGATGCTTTCAAATTAATCACAAATGCAAAGGAAATGTAAAAGAGCCGTGTAAGAATAATTTACTATTAACAGTTACATTATGCAGTATTTGCCCTTTTGTGACTGAGATATTTCACTCAACATAATGTCCTCCAGGCTCACCCATTTTGTATAATATTTCATGAGTTCCTTGTTTTTCAGAGCAGCATAGTATTCCATTGTGTGAATTTATCACAGTTTCTCTATCCATTTGTTTGTTGATGGGCACTTGGGTTGTTTCCAACTCTTTGCTACTGTGAACAAAGCCACAATAAACATAGGTGTGCATATATCTACTGGAATTGTTGGGTCAAATGGTATTTCTATTTCCAACTTTTTGAGAAAGGGCCATACAGCCTTCCAGAGTGCTTGCACCATTTTACATCGGATTTGAGGAGAAACTAGGAAAAGAGGGGATAAATAGTGTATACTGCATGAAACAGATGAGAGAACTGCATAAAAGGGATATATGATTGGGTACTTTCTGCATGACAAGAGTCCACAGTAGGAGCTACATAGGAAAGTGGACTTGCAGGGGAACTGTATAACAATGAAGTAATTTTTTTTTCCCTTCAAAGAAAAAAGCAAACTATTTGGGAGGGGTGTACAGGAGAAAATGTTCAAGAATGAATGATGGAAACTCAAGTTCTCTATAACCTTTCATTAAAATCTCAATTAAAAAATAAAATTATTCACCTTTCCACTTGATGCTTAGGGCTCCAAAGTTGTCACCTATATCCATTTAATTTAATTTCTCAAGTCTATTTCCTAAGGAGACACTATGTGCCTGCATAAACTGCCATCTTTAAATAAATCCCATGGCTGCTGTTTTTGCCACGGTGAAAAAGAAAATAATTTACTAATAAAAATTTAAAACTCTGGAAGAAATGGATTATTTCTATAAAGGTACAAATTAGAACACTAGTCAAAGAAGAGCCACACAGACTAAATGGGAGGGTTTGTTGGTTTTGTTTTTGGATTTTTTTTGTTGTTGTTTGGTTTTGTTTTATGTAAGACATTGAAATCTTTCAGAAAAGCTTCAGGGCCAGATGGCTTCATGGGTGAATGACTTCAAGCTATCCAGGAACAGATGTTGGTGTATAAACATCTTATACAATAGAGAAAAAGAGGGGGGGAAATGACTTATCTCTAAAAAGAAACTATATAATCCTAGGACGGACAAAAGGTAGAAGACAGATCTTAAGAAGATATGTTGTTGTTGTTATGTGCTGTCTAGTCACTTCCAACTCATAATGACCCTATGCACAATAGCTCTGAACCCTGCTCTATCTTGAGCCAATCTCACTGTCTCTTACACACCCACCCTATTACCCTAATCACTGAGTCAATCCATCCCATGGAGGGTCTTCCTCTCTTGCACTGTCCCTTTCCAAGGACTGGTCTCTTCTTGCAACATGTTCAAAGTATGTCTGATGGATTTTTAGAATCCTTCCCCCTAAGGAGCAGCCTGATTTCACTCTCTTCAGGATGAATCTGTTTGTTCTCCCAGCAGTCCATGGTATATTCAACACTCTTCTCCAGCACCACAGCTGAAAGGCATCAATTCTCCTTTTATCATGCCTCATCATTGTCTAGCTTTCTGATGCATAGCAAGTAATTGTGAAGATCATGGCCTAGGTCAGATGTACCTTAGTCTCCAGACTGACTTTGTTGCTCTTCAACACTCTGTAGAAGTCCCTAAGAGCACCTTCCCAATGCAATTAATCTTTTGCTTTCCTGGCCACTGGTACCAAGAGTGTTGTATCTTTTTAATACTATGGATCCCTTTGAAAGTCTGATGAAGCCTATGGACACTTTCCCAGAATAACACTTTATAACAAATAAAAGTTCAAATAAATTACAAAAATATATTCTAAATGAGATAGAATTTAATTTCTAGATTAACTGACACATATCCACACAAATACATAAATTCTACAGCCTACCTACTCACTATACCCATTTTAAAGTAGTGATGAAGACAAACAGCATTTTAAAATATCTAGAAAAACAATAATGTAATGTGAAAATATCTGTGATTTCTGTTGTAACATTATACAAAGCACCGCCATGGTCTGTCTGTAAGCCTTATAACATACTACTTTTAAGTTACAGGTGAGTGACTATAAAGTGAAACCTTTTCCTCCACCAACTTGTCAGACTGTCTGAATTCTAATTATTGCTTCCAGGAAAATACACCTCTCTGTTTATATCTCAAGTTCACTCACTAATTTTGAAGTAAAGATCTTGGATAAAAATCTACGTGTTGTACAAAGTTATTAAGAAAGCAAAGATCTTAAATCATGAAAACATTCATAACGCAAAACAGAAAATGGGAGATCTGAAAAAGTGAAAAAATTCTTAAACTGTCTATCAAAGCAATGTTTGAGAATGGCTAGATTCATATCCTGGTAGAACAGCATGTAAAGTATTAGTCGGCTAACCTGAAAGGTCAGTAGTTCAAATCCACCATTTTCTCTGAAGAAGAGAAATGGTCAATTGCCTCCCAAATATAGTCTCTGAAATGAGATTGTTTCTATGAGTAAGAAAGGACACCTACTGCCAAAGGGGCCCTTTAGAGTAGTGAGAGAAGATCTTCACCCTGAAACCCACAGCGTCCCTTTTCAGCAGGAAGTAGCTAAGAGAATACGCCGTCCCCTTTTCCTTATGACTCAGGGTGAAGTCTCTCTCAGGGAGGAGTGATAGGGAATGGCAAAGGACACACTGACAAAGGAGATTAATCAGAACTGGCTTTGACAAGCACTGTGGCAACTGGACAATTAAAACAGGCATTCGGCGGGGGGGGGGAGAAGAACGAACTGGGGAGGAGGGTAGAGAAAACAGTGCAACAATGAATGAATGAGAACCCCAAATCTCTGTAAATGTTCATTAAAATTAATAAAGTTTAACAATAATTTAAAAAAAGGAGTGAGTTATCAAAGAATTTCAGTGAGGGAATACTTGCCCTATCAGATGTTACAACAAACTCCAACAGTATAATAACTGGGCTGCTAACCAAAGGTCAATGATATAACAAAAGATCCTGGCTGAAAGTAAGGAATACCAAAAGAATGCCTATTAGTGCTTTACTGACTATGCAAAGGCATTTGACTGTGTAGATCATGACAAGTTGTGGCTGACATTGGGAAGAATGGGAATCCCAGAGCACTGGACTGTGCTCATGCAGAACTTATACCTGGATCAGGAGGCTGTTGCGTGAACAGAGCAGGGGAGCACTGCATGGTTTGGAATTGGGAAGGGAGTGCATCACGGATGCACTATCACCATACCTGTTCAATACATATGCAGAACAAATTATCCAAGAAGCTAGACTCTACGAAGAGGAATACAGCAGCAAGATTAAAGGGAGACTCATCAATAACCTGTGTTATGCAGATAACAAAACTTTGCTTGCTAAAAAGTGAGGAGAATTTGAAGCACTTTTTTGCAGAAAATCAAGGAATGCAGCCTTCAGTATGGACTGCATTTCAATGCTAAGAAAACAAAGATTCTTATCACTAGACCAATAGGCAATGTCATGATGGATGGAGAGGAGATTGAAACTGTCAACAGCTTCATCTTGCTTAGATCCACGATTAAAACC